AAGATCGCAGCCGTTAGGGTTTTACCCTACTACCCTGAACACATTGCGACAGATCCGTTAATGAAATTTGCAATATTCGTAGTAGTTAGGATAAAAGTCACAGTATCATTAGTATAATTAATTTTAGTAGTATAAGAGTTAAAATTAGCAGTAGTATTGCCTTCTTTAGCAGCAGTACACAAATACTTGCAGATTCGTCTGTTAGATGGCAGTCGAAGAACTATTTTGCAGTTGAGTAACACTATGAAACAAAGCCATTTTTGCGCGCTCGCAAGTAAATATCTATAGATGCGATAGATCGTGACTTCTTAAAGCCCATATAAGTTCCTTTACCGTCTGGTGGTTTATTTAAGCTATCGAAATGCATCTTTTCCGCCAATCCCTTACGCACCGGCTTAGAAAAAGACCAGGTTTTTTAAATTAAGATATTGACAAGAAATCAAGGAAATTATGGTTTATTGGTGATGAAAAAATAAGTGCACAAAGAATCGATAAAAATACAACCAGTGGAAGAGCATTTGGCCCTACTATGCAGATGTTATGGTTGCATACAATCACAAGCAGGTTATCATGCAGGATCCGCAGATGACTGGACGGAAAGTTTCAATCAAACATGACAGCAAGAAGAGCGCATTATGTACATGAATCCCACAAAAGATCGCAGGTACTAAGGGGGGGGGGTGAGGGAGATAAGACAGAGGTGAGGGTGTGGCGGTACGGAGAGAGGAAGCTAAGGCGTGTTGGAAAAGTGGACCATGAGCAATCGTTAATCTTGTGTTGTTCCATCGGAGCATTAGAATAAATTACATATTGCATGAGCTACACTCGCCTCCAATTACGTCGTGGCTAAAGGGAAGGAGGACTAGACCCAGACAAGAAATGACTCTCGTTCCAAAAACATAAATGATTGACGAGATATGACCTACGTAAGCTCCTCAATCTACGATTGGCAGTGGCTACCGTCAGTCCTACGAGAAGCCGCTGTCAAGGCTACATCGTCTTATGTGAAGGATTGATTAATTCAAGCGCAGGTGGCCATCTCCGACTGTAATAGCGTTAGTTACTTTAACAGTCTTCTTAGTGAAAGTTCTAATATTCTATGACTATCGCCCAAACCACGCCGTCTCTGGAGGATTCCGTTTTTCAACCGCAGATGGCAACTTCCGATTGTACACAATCAGAAGTGGCCATCTGCGTTGATGACCAAAACTTCGCAATTCAACCTGTTCAGTATTCGATTCCGAACACTCAACAGGTTGAATTGGAACATCCAGAGACGGCTGCAGGAGACACTTGCACTCGGGTACGAGGTACGATCTCATTGACAAGACTCATGTTGCAAACTATTCGTGCATTTTTTTTATGAGATTTGATCCGTATCGCCAGTACTTCACTTTATCGAATACTTATTTCTCATTTAGTTCTAGAAGTGTCTACGGCAAAGGTACTGCCGCCACTGCCACCTCTGCCACTGAAATGGCGGGTTATTTGGCGTCGAAAATCTATGTATTTTGGGGTGACAGTCTTTTCTTGTCGGACTCTGGTCCTCCTTCCTTTTAGCCACGACAAAATTGGAGACGGAAGGTGGGTCAGGCAAGACGTCTTTTTTACATACACTTTGAGTGCTTACTTCTGGTGCGTACAAGGTTCCTCTAGGACGTTATAGGAAAAGTTGTATCTGTGGTATCTTTATTCCGTTGTGGGATTCATGTACCCATAGCCACTTCTTTGTTGTACAGTTTGGTTTAACTTCCCGAAGGCTAGTGTCGCCAGCAGCTGTCGAAGCGTCTCCGATTCACAACATTGATTGTAAGGATATTCATAGTCATAGTAATCCTTTCCATTGTCTAATTCAGGGGTGGTCACTTGCGGCTGATTTACTGGATCCTCGATAGAAGAGGGGCGGGAACATTGGTTTCCCGTGTGGGGTGTGGGTGGCCACGGCCAATCATAAATTGAGGCGCTAACGTCCTCAGAGGTGTCATCCCCTATTTTCATGGGTCCTTTCCCCAAACGAAACAGCACCGTTACCGCCAAGGGACGAAATGGGGGTTGGCGGAGAAGGCATTTTTTCCTGGAGGTATGCGTTTACCCATCGTTTCAGAATTGGCTTGTAAGGCTTCTCAAGTCAGGGGCTTGGAATATTCCGAAAGTTATATGGGTGACCACTGGGAGTAGGTACTCGCGAATGTATACCCTCCGCTTTTCCCCCCTCTTCCACATTATGCTCCTTCTCCTCCTTTACCTACAAGGTCAATAGTGCATAAAAATAAGAAGAAAAATAAATGTTTTCTGTAGTTCAAAAAAGCATTACAATGTGTCCAGGCGTCACTAACAAGGGTACGCACATTTGTTTGACCAAGCTGATAGCAACTGGTTGCAGTACAATTAGGAATGTTCTTATGCCCCTGCATAACTTCGAAAATGCTGAGATCACTTCTGCCTCCCCCACTAGACCTTGACGCCATCTTTGTTAAATTACCTGCATTCATAATATGCATAGAAAAGTAGTTTGGCGTTTACCTCTGTGATAATGCATGGACTTAAACTGTATTCAGTCGGTTGATGTCACTTCCTAAAAATTGACTAACTATTATATGTGGCTCCTAAATGCGCAAAGATCGTAACCAATTAATCATGAAAGGACTACCAATCTAACTGAACGTTTGATTGAGAACAAAGAATTCAGCTAATCACGTCTTCTCTGCATCCGGATTGATATTCGTGAGCAATGATTTAAACCTGTTAAGAAGATCCTACCTATGGGTCCAAGGAACACATAAAAACCAGTATAAAGAAAGTGAAGTGAATAATTAAGTCACTTGCCTGTGCTGTGTTGCAGGAGTGGACTCGCCTCGGTTGCATTAGGCAGGTGTTAAGGTCCCATATAATCAGACGGAAACCGAAACATGCGGAGGATGAGAAAGTTGGGCGAACTTGACGTTCTCGACGTCATAACTGGGCCAGCCTTTTTTTCAAAACTAGGTAGTATCGATTAAATTTACAAAGTCGAAGAAAAATCAATACGTCTGTCGGTGAGGCGCGAACCTCTGTAAAGCTGCAAAAACTTTCGCTGACCAAAAATGTGCAAAAATATTATCCCTCCCGAAATGACACCTAGAGTGTTGTGAGTTGAAAATTCACTGAGGTATATGATGGGGATTAGTTATCTGGCGCTCATGGCAGCCACAGGAGACAACTGTAATACTGATAACTTTGAGCTAAGATCCAGGATGATAGGGCTTAAGGCTGAGGTAGATTTAGGGTTAAATTGAGGGTAGGGATAACATTTGACCCAAAATACGCGAAAGGAAACGTTGTTTAAAGAAACTTCACTCTGGGTTGATTAACCATCGTTTCAGAGAGTCATACAAGATGTCGTTTTGTCGTTGACTTTGACCGCATTGTCGGCGTCAACGCGTAGCGACCTTCGGAGTGATTGCGCAGCTTCTATGCATACGGGGTGACCGGTTCATCCTAGTTGCAAATGCCTCAGCTCGTTAAGGTGACAGCACTGTACATCTTAATTTTGGTGTCAAAGGTAGAGCATGACAATTCAAGGGAGTTTTTGCGGCCGACAGAAGGGTTGGATATGCGAAATTTTATCCTCGTGGCTGATGCTGCGTTAGAATTTATTTTTATCTATGTTCATTTGACCACTGCTTGTAATTGGCAGCAGTGTGCGGTTCACTTTATACTGAATCGGGCCAGGATTGAGGTATTAACACAGCCTTTTCTGTGTTTATGAATATTCTGATGTGCGCGGGGCCGGTGACGTCGAACAGTTGCATGCTTCTTTAGCCTATCCTCCTCACCAATCTAGACTAAACGCGTTGGAGCCTGCGCACGCCGGCTAATGAAAATATGGTCGTCGATTTTATAGGTGATGCGGATCTCAGGGTGTGCATGAGCAGAGCAGTGAACAGGAGTGCGAATGAGTCTGTTGCCCGCTTTTTTCTAGCTCTTCCTTTATGTCTGCTCCAAAAATCATCGCATTGTCTAAGGCGCGTCATTATGGAACTACATAGTTAATGTACCGTGCGCGTGAATCTTTCAGGCCAGCGGAATGTCTGCAGAATTTTCCCAAGACGAATGCGTTTGTCAGCTCCACAAATGTGCGCATCTCTTGTTGTCGCTGGCGAAGGACTAAGAAAATGTCAGTAGTTTCATTTCTGATTTTAGAAGTGGATGAAGGTCGCGTCCTGTCATGGTTTCTGTCATGCCGATGGACACTTTCCGAGATGACTTTAAGACCGATTCAGTAAACAATGAACCTCACACTACTTTCCCTTACAAGTAGTGGTCAAATGCACATACATAAGAATAAATGGTAATACTAGCGAACATACGAGTCCCAGGAAGTAATTGAGAAGAAGACGACTCGATCGCT